TTTCTTCTCTACTCCTCTGTCGCAACTGGTCTTCTCTGGTTTTTTTGGGTAACGATGACGGTGAAGCTGGATTTTTGGGCGTCGTGAATGAATTGTGGTCGCTCTTTGGAAGACAACATGGTCGAAGCTAACGATGATGGTTTTGGGGCTTTCTCGGATACATGTACCGGAGGCGGAGACGTTGGACATTAGGCTGGAGCTCAGCAACCTGAAGCAACAACGGTCGGAGCTGGAGAAGGTAACAGACAGAAGTCCAGAGCTGCAGGAGTTGATGGACAAATGGCCAAACATGGGAAAGATGAGAGAAATACAGCCCAAGCTGGAGAGGTGATGGACCGCCGTTGAAGGCTTCCATGGATGTTGTATGTGTCTCATCTCGTTAGGCATCTTGTTGTGTTTTCATTTTTGTAGTTTGTTTGAACGTCAAAATACATCTGTACACACATGCAACATTTGTTCACACAGGCAAATTCTTAGTGTGGTGCCTGTGTGGGCTGTAGACAGTGCATGTTGTCCTCAGTTGTATATATGTAATTGTGTGTGTATGTAGGCCTGTCAATGGGTCGGGTCTAGACCCGGACCCGACCCGGACCCGATTATTTTTAATAGGTATGGGTCTATGTTTTATTCCGTTTATCCGGACCCGAACCCGGACCCGTTAATATTTTTAATAAATGGGTCGGGTATGGTACATATGATTCCGACCCGTTAAGGACCCGGACCCGTTTATAATTTTTTTATTAATATATATTTCATATACTAATATAGTAATACATACCTAAAACTAGTATCCCATTAATCCATATTAAAACAAACTGGGATATTCTATTTTAGTTTTGTTTATTTCACTATCAAAGACATTCAATACGTTTGGATGAAAGTACCGGTTTCTTACGTGAACATCAATTTTTTTTAAAAAATAAAGATGTGTTTTACTTATTACTCCATATTAAGGATGATTGAGATCTAGATGTAGCTAGTTTGTGGAATTGCATTACATTCATGATTTATATACACGTTCTGTTTTATATTTGGTGGGTCTAATCTTCCAAAAAATCTGGCGGGTCTACCCGACCCAAACCCGAGACCCGTTGGGTCCGGGTCCGGGTCCAAAATTGTAGACCCGACGGGTAAACGGGTCCGGGTCCGGGTCCCTTATTTACTTAGCGGGTCCGGGTCTGGAACACTACATTCCGGCCCGGACCCGACCCATTGACAGGCCTATGTGTATGTACGGAATGGTGGACATGTTGTCTGTGTGTAGTAGATAAGTCATGTTTGTTTATGCAGTGTATGAAACTTTGTCTGTGTATGTCGGAACATGTGAACATGTTTGTTTGTGAAACAATTAAAGTTGTCTCTGTGTGCATATATTACTGTTTGTGTGTAGCCCTAAGTTTGTGTATGTACGCATGAATACATTGTTTATTATTTTTATGAATTCTATATTGTACCATGACAGACTCACAAGGTCAGCAACAGGATAATGAAGTTGGTTGTTGATAAGCACAATAATTACTTATGTTTTACATAAGTGATTATATTTATCTGTACAAAAATGTGAAGCAAAAAAACAGGTAAATATTCCCGAGTGAGCGGAAACATGAAATACGGCTTGGAACAGCAAAAATAGGGTCAAAAGTCAAAAGGGGTCGAAAACCGACACTTTTGGATCAATTTTGGGCATCAAAAGAGGAAAAGAAGCTAAGTACAAAATTGGGCGCAGGAACCGGCGCCGGTCATCACACATCCGGCGCCGGTTGTTGGGATTTTCCCCCAAATCGGGCCTGTTTCCAACCGGCGCAGAGCAACCGGTGCATTTTTTCACCTGATCGGCGCCGGACACCCTACAACCGGCGCCCGTTGTTCCGATTTCTGCTACAAACACAGCTACGTGCAAGACATTTCTTGATGGGAAAACTTCATCTTCCTCATATTTGATCAAATATCTCCTCCATACCTGATTGTTGGGCTTGAATAGACTAAAAGATGTCATTCTTTAGCCTATATAAAGCCCTCAATTCATCAAGCAAAGATATTCCATTCCATACTTTAATTCCTAGTTTTCATACTTTGTTTTTGCTATTGTTCTTCATCAAGTTCTTGAGGAGGAAACTTCAACCTCCGAAACCATCGGTGTTTAGGTATTATTTCCTTTGTAATTTCATGTTCCATTACATTTCAATATTGTATTGTGATTAATATGAACATTAGAGCCTAATTTCTTAGCTAAGGCTAGGGATGAACCTCTATGCCCACTAGGTGTTTGATAGAAGTTCTAAACCAATAAATTGTGATTTATCCTTTATATTTTGATTGTTTATGACTATGGTGTACAACATAGAAGTATGTTAAATTTAGTTTATGCTTGCAATTAACGTTGAAGTCTAAACTATGAACATTAAAGGATAAACATATATAGTACCGAGAATAGAAATATATCCGGTCTTATATGATACGGGTATGATGTCTTGATATTCAACGGGGTTTTCGGTACATCAAAGTCTAGTCCGTAATAAGCCCCATCAATGTATAGTCCGTACATCAAAGTCTAAGTCCAAAAATCTCCAGTAGCGTACGCAATTGGAAACCAATTTTCCAGGCAATTGGACCAACAATCCAGCTTGAGGTACACACTTTTCATACACACACGTAGACACTCGTGTCTGTATACAGGCACAACGTATTTTCAAATACGTTGTACCTGTATACAGACAAAAAAAACATACACAGACCTGACTGTGTGCGTGTGTGTATGAAAAGTGTGTAACAATAAAATTTTTGATTGGACCAATACCAAAGTCCAAAAATCTACAGTAGCGTAGCAATTGGAAATCAATTGGAAATCGTCTTTGCCGGGAGAGGTAGTTAACAAAGAGACTCGGGAAACCAGCGACTACGTGGCACAGCCCGCGTAATGCAGAAGTCAGAAGATGAAGTTCGATTGGGAGAAAAGCTAGTCAGACGCACACGACCGATGACCTAATCCCAGATGACTATGGAGATGCTCGATCGGCGATGACAGATGAGGATGGTGCGGAAGTCAGATTGCAAGATATTACAAAAATATCCGGTCGTATTATGCTCAAGGTACAGCCGGTTGTACGATGTAATTACCCTCGTCATTAGTGTTTCGGTAAAACACTGGTGCATTCCTTTTCCATCCCAATGATTAGTGTGATCTATAACTTAAGTTAGGACAAACGTGAACACCATGGAATTGAAGTTCTAGCTAGAAAGTAATTATACTTCACAAAAAATGATTTGCAATTCCCGATTTTTAAAATTCACCGAATATAAATTTAAGTTTTCAGTCTAGACATTGAAATAACTTTTAATAACCAAGTTACATATTTAGGACTACATTTAAGTCCCTATGAATCTAGTTGCAATACCCTAAATAATACGTAAATAATAAAACCAAAATGTCTTGACCAATACAATAAAAATCATTTTGAGATGTGTGGACTTGTGGACATTATTTATTCCTCGACTCATTCACACCAAGATTAGATTAGCTACCTTAGATAGTTTTTATTCGATATTTTGATATATAGATAGTATATTGTACGTAGTATATATACATCCTCCGTCCCGAAAACAAGTTCCGTCTTTCCTTTTCGGGCAATATCAAAATTAAGTTTCACTTTCAAACATTTCCTTATTTGGCAACTTCTAAACAGTGCAAAACAATGTCAAACAGCGTCGAAACAGTAAAATTTACCCCCACAGTAAATTTATTTTCTTAATACTCTCTCTGTCCCACTAACAATGGGACAAGCAAGAGTAGCACACAAATCTATAAAAGTGGTTTATGTGGTTGATATTGAATTGACAAAATAAAAATAAAGAATGATTTAGAGTCACACAAACTTTACCAAATAAGGTATGAGACAATCTTAGTGGGACGGACCGAAATGGTAAAATAGGATAATCTTAGCGGGACGGAGGTAGTATGTGTGAATTTTAACCCGGAACTTGTTTAGGGGACAGAGGGAGTATGATACTCCGTACTTCATACTTGGTAGTATATACGAAGTATTATTTTTGGGTGACTATAATATACCTACCCTTTCATCAAAAAACTTGAAGATGAATATACATTATTAAAGTCCATATTAATGGTGCATAATAACGTATAATATACTTACGTCTTTATGAACCGTTCACCATCCACGTACTGCACACATACATACAGAAATCTTGGTTATTAATTAGTCACAAGCTACTTTCTAAACATTCCTTCCTTTTAATTTCAATATACACTACTCATAGCAATATAGATCTGACCGCGATAGAAAGAAAATGAGAGTATCCAAAATTTATTTTATGTTATTTTTTCTAACTATGAGTAATATAAGATTTTCGATTGAAATAATAAGTGAGGAAGACCCAGGAGTTCTTGAGTATGTACAAAGTTTATCAGGTTGTTCAGATAAGCAGCCACCTTGTGACGAATGCAGGAAGCAGTATGATTTACCGAAAAGCGGGGAAAGGGGGTTGGGGTTGCCAAAAGACGGGGATTTATCTAGGGTTTACCAAAACAAGGGAGTCGGAACTCCCAATTCCGACTAGAAGTTAGGGTTGCCAAAAAATTCCCTCCCCCCCTAGTCGGATTACCCAATTCCGACTAGGGAAAAAATATATTTTTTTTTCGAATTTTGTTTTTGATTTCCAATTAGTTAGGGTTTCGTAAGTAGGGAAAAAAAATTCCGAATTTTGTTTTTGATTTTGAGTTCGAAAAAAAATAAAAGTGGTAGGGCTAAATTATATCAATTCCAAATTTAAAATTTTTTTTAGATTCATAACATATTTTTTAAAATGAAAACTTAGCATTATGATTTTTTTAGTAAGAAAACAATTGATTGCTTTAATTTGTTTTTAAATCCATTTGTATTGTGAATTTTGTTTTAATTGCAATTTTTGTAATTTTAAGTGCAATTTTGATTTACTCCATTCGTCTATTTAGATAAAAATTTCATTTTGTTTTAAGTGAATTTTTTTTATAATTTTAATGGAAGTGAACAAAACAAATGTAGTTTTCAATATAATTTATTAATGAATAGACGGTACATACAAAATTAAATTTAATACTACATCTAATGTTGCGTGCTCGGCCCTGCTCCATCCCCACCGCCAGTGTTCCAAGCCCCCGTTGTGTCTCCATAGTAAAAAGACGAATTCAGAAATGACTTAACATAATCATCAGGTTGTGTGGACCACTGATAAGAATCATAACACGGCGGTGGTTGATCAAATGACCCACCTTGATGCGTTGAGAATTGAGGGGGTGGTTGATCAAATGAGACACCCTGTGTTGAGAATTGAGGGGGCGCTTGTGAATCCTCACCCCCATCTTCACGTTCATGTGAATCATCCTCTTCGTCACTTCCACCTGCATCTTCATCTTCATAGTGGAATATTCCCCGGTGGAGCATATCTTCATCACCTACATCCAGGGCCATCTGCCGTAATCGTTTTTGACAATCCTCATAACTCGCGCGGTCGGTTAAGAGCTGATACACCTCGTGAACGCCTTGCTTCTACATAAAAATGTAACACGTGTAAATAATATGACACGATATATGGTAGCGAATATGGTATGTATTCAAAAACTTACCACAATACCCCAATCGTGTGCTGTTGGGGTGTAGCCTGTCGTGGGCACATTGTGAGAAGGGTTCTGGACACGTGTCATACCATGCTTCTTGTACCAGTTTCGGTACCTTTGAGTTGCTTCGAGGGACATATATCGATCATAATCAAGAACGTATATATTATGTTGTATGTCCGCCCACATCGTCAAGGCACCGATCACTATGTTGGAACGAGATCCGTGATGATCAGTACCCGACAAAGGAGCATTCGGAATGTCTTGCCTTATACCGAACTGCCGAAGGAATCGATCCGGGTAATGCATTTCGGCCATATTGCAAAATATGAGCATGACTCTAGCCGACCAAAGCGGAGCATCATTAAGGATGAGAGGCGGGAGCATCTCGGACGCGTAGGGAGTGAAATCAAACTGTAAAAAGTTTAATTTACAATTTAAAAACTAGAAAAAATAGTGTATTTTAAGGCTGAATAGTACGGTTGAAGTAAAAATTTTATGTACTACCTGACTCTCAGTCATGCGGTCTAGGTCATCCCGGTACAAGCGTATGCAATGTCTTGGGGATCCCTTATATGACTTGGGGACGATCCACCTACATTTATTGATTACCGATATGAAGTTAAAAAATGTAACGTCATGTAAAGCATTCTCAATTATTAAGATGTAATTGACAACATACTTGCACCCATATGGAAGATGGCCATGTTGAATGACCTGAAGTGCTGAGGGACAGACCATCGAAATCCTCGACCAAGCCCAAATCTGTAACAAGTGCATACAACCGCCAACTTGTTTGGTTTCCCACATCGCGCCGTTGCACAAGTTATGGTAGAGGTACCCGAGAACCGCTGATCCCCAACTCCAGCGACGGGCTAAAGCCAAGTCACACTGCAAGACCTCCAAAAAGTACAATCGTATTCTTGCCCCACTCGTGTCAGGGAACAAAAACCCTCCAAGCAATTGCCATATTAGAGTCCTGGTGTGTTGGGTGACCTCTTCGTCTGTACTGTCATCTACGATCCGGTGACGGGTAACAGCACTCATAGTGATATCACTCGTGCGCATATCAGTCTGTAGAGGAGTGAAACCACACGACTGAGTGCACAGGTCAATCCACTGATCCTTACCCCTAATGGTTGGACCACTGAGGGGCATACCCCGAATGGGCAAACCAAGGATCACCGCCACATCTTGTAGACTAATGCCGACCTCACCGAATGGAAGATGGAAAGTATGAAGGGTAAACTGCGCCGACTTCGATCCTTTCAGGCTCAGAATCAAGCTCATATGGTTCTTCTAGCTCTAGATTGGCCCAGGTGGGGTCTACTGTCTCGTCATTACCATCCCTCGTGGTTGTATCGACATCACTACAAAAACCTTGTTCATAGTCTGGGTCGTCAGACTCTTCACCTGAATCTGAATGAATTCATATGACTAAATGTGTTAGATTTTGTTTAACCGAGTTATATTATAAAATGTCTGTTTTATCTAAATCAATGAGTTCAAAATTACTAAAATAAATACGGAGTACTTCTAAACAAAATCAAATTTTTCTCGAATAAAAAATATAGTTTTTAATAAAAAATGTAATATATAAAATTTAATATATATAGTTTTTAAAAATAAAACTAAATATTTCCAAAAAAAACACCCTCTAGTCGGAATTAACCTATCCGACTAGAGTTTTCCTTTTTTTTAAACTCCCAGTCGGATTTGAGCATTCTGACAGGATTAAAATTTATTTTTTATTTATGTTAAATTAAATATCGTTTGCACTAAAAAAGACATTTACATTTTTTATTTAAGAGATATTTTTTATGTGTTAAATAAGGATTAAAAACGATTTTTTTTACATTAAAAAATCTAAATTTGTGAAATCCCACATCAATTATAGTTTCCACACCATAATACTCCATATTATTTACATTAAAGACATTAATGAATTTGTACACATATTAAATTAAGAATAATATTATACACTAAATTAAAATTCCAATTTCTCAAATAAAAATTTAAAACAAAATTAAAAATTACTAAATTAACTATACTCGTAAAAGCAAAGTTAAGGCAAATTCTCAATTTAACACATTTTCTAACTTTCAAGTAATTTATAGTCAAATTTAACTCTAAAATTACAATTTAACAATCTAAATGAAAACATTTACAAATTGCTAAATGAACTACGTCTATAGTCCTACAACCAAAATTTAAGTTCAATTCTAATTTTAACACTCTTTCTAACTTTCAAGTATTTTATAGCTAAATTTACCCCTAAAATTCAAATTTAACAAATAAATTTAAAAACATTTACAAATTACTAAATCTACTACTTCTACGTTCCTAAAAAAACTAATTAAGGCAATGCAAATTATAAGTTAAAGAGATATATATGGAATATTTGGGTGTATATACCACTTTAAATATGTGCAATTAAGTATGTGTCATATATTTGTATAAATTAAACATATCAGTCTGTAGAGGAGTGAAACCACACGACTGAGTGCACAGGTCAATCCACTGATCCTTACCCCTAATGGTTGGACCACTGAGGGGCATACCCCGAATGGGCAAACCAAGGATCACCGCCACATCTTGTAGACTAATGCCGACCTCACCGAATGGAAGATGGAAAGTATGAAGGGTAAACTGCGCCGACTTCGATCCTTTCAGGCTCAGAATCAAGCTCATATGGTTCTTCTAGCTCTAGATTGGCCCAGGTGGGGTCTACTGTCTCGTCATTACCATCCCTCGTGGTTGTATCGACATCACTACAAAAACCTTGTTCATAGTCTGGGTCGTCAGACTCTTCACCTGAATCTGAATGAATTCATATGACTAAATGTGTTAGATTTTGTTTAACCGAGTTATATTATAAAATGTCTGTTTTATCTAAATCAATGAGTTCAAAATTACTAAAATAAATACGGAGTACTTCTAAACAAAATCAAATTTTTCTCGAATAAAAAATATAGTTTTTAATAAAAAATGTAATATATAAAATTTAATATATATAGTTTTTAAAAATAAAACTAAATATTTCCAAAAAAACACCCTCTAGTCGGAATTAACCTATCCGACTAGAGTTTTCCTTTTTTTTTAAACTCCCAGTCGGATTTGAGCATTCTGACAGGATTAAAATTTATTTTTTATTTATGTTAAATTAAATATCGTTTGCACTAAAAAAGACATTTACATTTTTTATTTAAGAGATATTTTTTATGTGTTAAATAAGGATTAAAAACGATTTTTTTTACATTAAAAAATCTAAATTTGTGAAATCCCACATCAATTATAGTTTCCACACCATAATACTCCATATTATTTACATTAAAGACATTAATGAATTTGTACACATATTAAATTAAGAATAATATTATACACTAAATTAAAATTCCAATTTCTCAAATAAAAATTTAAAACAAAATTAAAAATTACTAAATTAACTATACTCGTAAAAGCAAAGTTAAGGCAAATTCTCAATTTAACACATTTTCTAACTTTCAAGTAATTTATAGTCAAATTTAACTCTAAAATTACAATTTAACAATCTAAATGAAAACATTTACAAATTGCTAAATGAACTACGTCTATAGTCCTACAACCAAAATTTAAGTTCAATTCTAATTTTAACACTCTTTCTAACTTTCAAGTATTTTATAGCTAAATTTACCCCTAAAATTCAAATTTAACAAATAAATTTAAAAACATTTACAAATTACTAAATCTACTACTTCTACGTTCCTAAAAAAACTAATTAAGGCAATGCAAATTATAAGTTAAAGAGATATATATGGAATATTTGGGTGTATATACCACTTTAAATATGTGCAATTAAGTATGTGTCATATATTTGTATAAATTAAACATATCAGTCTGTAGAGGAGTGAAACCACACGACTGAGTGCACAGGTCAATCCACTGATCCTTACCCCTAATGGTTGGACCACTGAGGGGCATACCCCGAATGGGCAAACCAAGGATCACCGCCACATCTTGTAGACTAATGCCGACCTCACCGAATGGAAGATGGAAAGTATGAAGGGTAAACTGCGCCGACTTCGATCCTTTCAGGCTCAGAATCAAGCTCATATGGTTCTTCTAGCTCTAGATTGGCCCAGGTGGGGTCTACTGTCTCGTCATTACCATCCCTCGTGGTTGTATCGACATCACTACAAAAACCTTGTTCATAGTCTGGGTCGTCAGACTCTTCACCTGAATCTGAATGAATTCATATGACTAAATGTGTTAGATTTTGTTTAACCGAGTTATATTATAAAATGTCTGTTTTATCTAAATCAATGAGTTCAAAATTACTAAAATAAATACGGAGTACTTCTAAACAAAATCAAATTTTTCTCGAATAAAAAATATAGTTTTTAATAAAAAATGTAATATATAAAATTTAATATATATAGTTTTTAAAAATAAAACTAAATATTTCCAAAAAAAACACCCTCTAGTCGGAATTAACCTATCCGACTAGAGTTTTCCTTTTTTTTTAAACTCCCAGTCGGATTTGAGCATTCTGACAGGATTAAAATTTATTTTTTATTTATGTTAAATTAAATATCGTTTGCACTAAAAAAGACATTTACATTTTTTATTTAAGAGATATTTTTTATGTGTTAAATAAGGATTAAAAACGATTTTTTTTACATTAAAAAATCTAAATTTGTGAAATCCCACATCAATTATAGTTTCCACACCATAATACTCCATATTATTTACATTAAAGACATTAATGAATTTGTACACATATTAAATTAAGAATAATATTATACACTAAATTAAAATTCCAATTTCTCAAATAAAAATTTAAAACAAAATTAAAAATTACTAAATTAACTATACTCGTAAAAGCAAAGTTAAGGCAAATTCTCAATTTAACACATTTTCTAACTTTCAAGTAATTTATAGTCAAATTTAACTCTAAAATTACAATTTAACAATCTAAATGAAAACATTTACAAATTGCTAAATGAACTACGTCTATAGTCCTACAACCAAAATTTAAGTTCAATTCTAATTTTAACACTCTTTCTAACTTTCAAGTATTTTATAGCTAAATTTACCCCTAAAATTCAAATTTAACAAATAAATTTAAAAACATTTACAAATTACTAAATCTACTACTTCTACGTTCCTAAAAAAACTAATTAAGGCAATGCAAATTATAAGTTAAAGAGATATATATGGAATATTTGGGTGTATATACCACTTTAAATATGTGCAATTAAGTATGTGTCATATATTTGTATAAATTAAACATATCAGTCTGTAGAGGAGTGAAACCACACGACTGAGTGCACAGGTCAATCCACTGATCCTTACCCCTAATGGTTGGACCACTGAGGGGCATACCCCGAATGGGCAAACCAAGGATCACCGCCACATCTTGTAGACTAATGCCGACCTCACCGAATGGAAGATGGAAAGTATGAAGGGTAAACTGCGCCGACTTCGATCCTTTCAGGCTCAGAATCAAGCTCATATGGTTCTTCTAGCTCTAGATTGGCCCAGGTGGGGTCTACTGTCTCGTCATTACCATCCCTCGTGGTTGTATCGACATCACTACAAAAACCTTGTTCATAGTCTGGGTCGTCAGACTCTTCACCTGAATCTGAATGAATTCATATGACTAAATGTGTTAGATTTTGTTTAACCGAGTTATATTATAAAATGTCTGTTTTATCTAAATCAATGAGTTCAAAATTACTAAAATAAATACGGAGTACTTCTAAACAAAATCAAATTTTTCTCGAATAAAAAATATAGTTTTTAATAAAAAATGTAATATATAAAATTTAATATATATAGTTTTTAAAAATAAAACTAAATATTTCCAAAAAAAACACCCTCTAGTCGGAATTAACCTATCCGACTAGAGTTTTCCTTTTTTTTTAAACTCCCAGTCGGATTTGAGCATTCTGACAGGATTAAAATTTATTTTTTATTTATGTTAAATTAAATATCGTTTGCACTAAAAAAGACATTTACATTTTTTATTTAAGAGATATTTTTTATGTGTTAAATAAGGATTAAAAACGATTTTTTTTACATTAAAAAATCTAAATTTGTGAAA